TTCTCATCAATGCTTCTTTGTTAGGGTAGCCTAGAGGTTAAAGCGTTTGTTTGTCGCCTGCAGAACCTGGTTTCGATTCCCCACATGGGTTTATGTGTGAAGCCCATTTCTGGAGTCCCTGACATGATATTGCTGGAACACTGCTAAAACCTGCATAGAACTAAACTCACTCACTCTTTACACAACTGAATCTGACCTGCATGACATCTGTACAATACATATATTTCCAGACAGTGACAGACCTATAACAAGTCAAAAAGACAAATTTATTCATTATTCATCTTTATTCATGAACAAGTTTTGAGCATTAATACGATTATGTAACAGGTCTGAAAAAAGTTGTCCGAGGCAAACATGGGCATATTTTTAAATGTCAGGACACTCACTACGTGTTTAACAGGTTTAATGTCAAAATATGTCACAAGTCTGGATTAGGGTGCTCCAACCTCGGCAATATCAGGCATGAAATACAAAGCAATATTCCCTGCTGTGTCCAGAGCATTGCCAAGTTGATGGGTGTCACACACTTGTTTATCACTCTCTACACCATGACAGACATTTGTCTCAACACAGGGCCTGTACTTCTTTCATTTGAAATATGCAAATTCACTTCAAGTTTACTTTCCACTTGTATTTTGAGGACATCAACACCCATTAGAAACATAAATAGGGCATTAGTCATTTAAGTATCTAGGTCTTTATAATATGTCAAGGAATATAATTGACAAGAACTTCTTTATTACACATGCACACCGTTGCAGGGCTTGGCATTTTTCATATCCAACTTCGATATGACTCTAGTTTGTATAATGATTCTAATTATTTCTTCTATTTGTCATATTGATAACTTAACCATCCTAACATTTGGTTAGATCTGTATATGGCAGCAGTTTAAATGATGAAGCAAGCCCCACTGAACAGCAACAAATGAATTTTCATTATAAAATATTTCACTGACACAAAATATTTTCTGGATTCCATCAGTGAGATTGCTGGCTGTAGTGTTCACACTTTAGGCATACTTCTTTTATTTTCCTCAAAATCTTATTTTAAAAAAAACATGAGGCAAGGGGTATTTTATTTTTTATATTATATTTTTTATATTACATTTAAAAATAAATAAATTATATTATATTTTCTAATTAACAAAGTGTTGAATGTTTGATAGGTTTTTGCTTATTTTGTATTTCATGAAGCGAAGAAAGAAGGAACACACATGACCACTTTCTTTGTCTGCAGGGACAATAAAATAATGTGAGGCAGGGTGTTTGGTAGTGAGGGATGTAAAACAAAAGAATATCTTAACATGGCCTTATTGCGTAATTGGGACTGCTGACAGATAATGATATGATAGTGGAGTCAAATAACTTTGGACACTGGTCCAAAGACCAAATCAAGTACAATTTGTTTTCGACAACAAAGCTAAGAATAGCCTGTCCAGAAACACTTGACATCTACTGGAATGATGTCAAAAGACAAGTTCAGGCTAGTTAAGTCAAACGTTTCCTCCAGGCCAATAATGGTGATTTGTATGACAATATTTCATCAGAATGTGGTTACACCTATCAATACATATATTACAACCATGTCAATGAAACATTTCATCAAACCTTTATTGGAAAGGGTAACCCTACTCAATGTCACATAAACATCAAGGATGTATCTTGACCTGCTCAAAGGCTAATTCGCAAAAACAATACATTCAGTAAAAAATTCTCAAATTGGAATTACAAATTTCACAAATCATGTTACCATAATAACTAATGTAATGGCTTTGTTCATGTGACAACTTGAGCAAACTAACTAATATATGTTTCCCCCAAAATGTCCTGCCAAGGCACTTATTGGAACATTATATAAATCCCTGGTAAGTGCATTGAATCTATGTGTATAAAATCTATTCAGATCCTGCTGACAACACTACATCGGATATGATTCATGAATGAATCCACCACATCGGAAATCCACTTCCAATAGGAAACAAATACTTTAACCACTGTCACCACAAGTATGCAATATAAACAATATCCTCATGCTTGAATGTAAACACTGTTGTTACATGTGGCTCTGTGAATCACCAAGTTCTAACATGTGCTAAACATTGAAGGCTGATACATCTCATGTATACTTCTCAGCGCCTAAGCTATGCAATATGTTATACTGTTGCACAATTTATCACCTTGGTAATCAGCTGGGTACTACGAAAATTTTGCAACATGAATTTTAAGTCTTTGATGGGCATTTACAATTTGGTAAAACATAAAGACTTGAATTCTATTATGGATAACAATTTCTTTATTCTTTGTATACTCACTGTTACAAAGCATACAGAAGCTATCCTTAAAAAACAGCATGTCTTCATGAACTATTAAACAATAAATGTTTTTAAATGGGGAATATGAAAAACAATACACTAAACAAAACTGAATCTTGCTTGGGGTAAGAAATTATTATGTCATTGAAGTTAAGTAACGATAAGATATAGATGAACTACTTTATTCTTCCCCGCAATTAGGAGGGACATTTCAGAGTAGGTTCTAACACTGATATCAAGCAAGCATATATCTTATCCTTACTAAGTATTCCCAACTCCTAAATGCCTCTCAAAGAATCAAACCTTTATCTGCTAAAGCTAAGGATATGAAAAGGACCTCTAGACACTCATCCTTAATTTCTAACACTGTCTTTACAAACTAGCAAGATCAGAATGTTCTAATTTCTTAACTCATCACACATGTAGGAATACTTCTACTGGTCTGATGATCGTGAACAAAGACCACCTCACACTAATGTATTAACCAAACTCTCCACAGATGGTACTGCATCAAGCACTATAAATCAACTCCACTGAATAGGTCACTTCCTGCAAGTACAAGCCTATTCTATGTGTGTTGGGTTAACAGAACTTTGAACAGAATTTCTGTCACATCACAGAGCATAAGCTTGCCGTGGGAACAAAGCCCAAAGTGATGTACAATCCTATTCTGACTTTGAAGCATTCTTCCAAGAAGTTCTGATATTTGCATATAAACCACTAGTTGCATACATTTCATAGTCCCCCTCTAACACTCTCCAGATGGCTTACAGCAGCTCGAGTCCCCCACCCCTGGAAACTTTAGTCTGGCTTATCTCTTCTTCAGTAGCCAGGATCCTGACCCCCCTTATCGGTCCCCTCTCCCCTCCTCTTAGAGCTCCCCCTGCTTAATGAATTCCCCACCCCCTCCACATGATGTGTCAGAGATAAAGTTGGGCCCAGGGCTCTGGAGTTAGATTTCAGATTCTGGTGACGTTTACATAAACAGTTGACTGACACAAAGTCAGCTGTTAGGAAACAGCTTTGTTTCTTTGTGTTACACTCTATTTCAATGTTTCAAGATAAAGCAAATCTGGAAGTTATGTAAAGTTATGTAATGTTATCTCCTATTTTCAAAGCATAGATACACAGACTTAAAACAGATCCATTCAGCTGCCTGACGCAGTTTCTGGAAAAATATTGCTTATCCAACATATTCCCTTCACCTCTTTAAAACGCTTTCAATGGAAGTATTACTGCCCGGCATGTATGAAATGTGTACAGCTCACATATACTGACGAGGCGATCAGCAATAATACATAGCGAATTGCATTACAAAATGTAAAATGCATATGGATCATTTTCACATTACAAAACTTGCTATTGTTGCAAGTTTGTCTTTCTCTTCCCCCCTAAAAATATGTATATAAGTAAAGGATTGAGCTGCAATGCATACATATATAACTTCTGGAGGGGGGAAACAAGCGGAGTCTTTCTCATGACATATTTTTTTAACACAGCATGTATTGAATATATATTGTACCTAGTTTGTTTTTTATAAATTTATAAATTGAAGTTTGCTCCAATCACATTTGACTCTTTAACTTATCATAACATCAGTGTTATGATAGGGACCTTTATGTGTCTATGCTTAATTTTGAACTCTGCATACATCATTTAGCAGCTAAGCTGGACTTCAAACAAAGCATTGCATGATAACACATCTATCTGACACAATTGTGACAGATTGAGTTTGAAACAAACACGCAACCAATCTCAAATTGTTATATTTATGGACTGAAACTGTGAATTTATGGTTGAGTCAAAACAACTAATATTCACCGGTTTCTTTCAGAGGGAAGGGAAAAAGCAATGTTAAAACACTGTTACAACAATTAGTTGCTAATAAACATGCTTTTCCTTATCCAATACCATGAGCCATTAAGTCCAGTACATGCATCACTGCCTGTATACAATACAAAGGGTGTGGAGAACTCAGAGGGCTTAGTTATTATGTAACTCACTGTGACCTATTGCACCTCGCTCAACTGATTGCTCCTTGAGTGTGGCAAATGAGCATATTGAAACTGGCATTTAATTGGGAGGATTATTTAATCACTTGTTATGTATAATTTCTGTTAACTTTTAGTTTGCTTGTTAACATGGTCAATGATCATAGGTAATACATACTTATACTATTATAAAGTTTAAAGTATTTTTTATTCATGGTACAAAAATATTATAGTATTTCTCTTGTAATTTAAGCCTATAATTGAAGTTAGTTTCTGATAAAAGAACTATTACAAACTGAGCAATAAATATTATCAATCATAAAACTGCTTAAATTTCTAAAAACAATTATACATTGTATCAAGAGCCACAATTAAGCCTTGAAAAAAGTGTTACTTTAATCGTGTTAATACTTGCAAAGTCCAGAAAAAGCAACACGAAAGCAATGCAACTTTCTTTTCTTTTTCTTATAAAGTAAGGAATTCTTTTTATAATTATGGCTCAGATATATAACTATAGTTTCACAAAATTAATACCAAAAGCGTTCTCATGGCAGTAATTAAAAAGTTATGTAACTTTTCAAACTTTACTTAACTTTTTTTTTATATAAAAAAGTGAAAAATACAGGGTTTTTTTAATGATTGGTTCAGATACATAAAAATTTCTTTGTGCAGGAGATAATGACAAAAGTACTTACTGAGGCTGAGAGTGAGGTTGACAAATTTAGGGTACTGAATATCCTCTAGCATCGTCTCTGACTGCCACCACGTCCAGTTGTAGTTATTGTTGAAATCTGTCATAAACTCGGGTGGATGGTTATACCCGGGTCGTCTGGCGTCACAATAATAGCAAGACTTGGTAGCTCCCGTCACTCCAGTTTGCAGACAATATTCGTTGGTGGAAGAAACTCCGCACGTATTACTGGCGTCCACCGGCAGACCGAAAGCTGCGTTCACAAACTCAGGCATACAGCGCTGAGCCCGACCCTGGCGATCATAACAACTGCTTCTGCCTCTTGGAGGGTCCTCTTGGGCCTCGCAAGTCCTCATCAAAAGTCCCAGACAGATGACTAAAACAAAGGAAACCATCTTCCCTCGTGTATTTCCATTCGAACAACTTTTCAAAGTTGTCTGTCGCAACCCGGCTGCACTGTACGCCGCCATTGCTCTCTCACGACCAAATCACCACTGCATTGTGGGTAAAGGGGGATGTCTTTTTGCTGAGCGAAGGCTTAGCTGGTATACCGTAAACCTTCTTCGAGGGATCACGGCCTAGTTTGTGTGCTCCGGTTTGTGAAAGAAAACTAGGCACCAAAATGAGCGATGGTACTCCAGTGTACTTTACGTGATTGGCTAGTGACGCAACTATATACGGTATATCACCTACACAATATACACATGAATCGCTCCACCGCCTCTGTGTGGTGTTCATCTTGTGGATGCCCTCTGGCAAAGATTAAGAGAAATTCATTTGTTTTATGTCGGAAGTGAAGTTACTTTGTATGTCGTGTTAGTTTAAACAACTTAACTATTGTTTGGAGATAAATAATGAAGTCAAGTTTAAAATTAAGTTCATCAAATCTGTCGGGGTAAAAGTACGTTTAGTAGTAAGTTTCAATGTGATTTTATATGTTAATAGGTATGATAACTGGATTTTTTTCGTAAGTAGAATCTTTCACAAATGTTTACCGATTACAGTAAACTACGGTTATAACGAACTCAAAGGGACCACAAATTTTAGTTTGTTATAACCGTAGTTCGTTTTAAGCATATGTACAGCATATATACAGCAAATGTACGGGACCAAAAAAACAGTTCGTTTTATCCGCCGGTTCGTTATAAGCGTGTTCGTTATGAACTTAGTTTACTGTAATTAATTAAGTAGTCTGTGTAATCCAGTACATATATATAGTACTTGTTTGTTGTCGGGTTCCTGGTTTCAATTACCAACTTACACATATACAATATGTGTTGATCATTAAATACAAGTTTGTGTATTATAAAGTGACACACGTTAAGCTGAAGTTACGTGTAACAGTTGAACATGAAATCGTAATGAAATATGAAAGTTTGAACATTGTCAAAATTGACAAAAGACGAATATAATTTGCAGTCACGGTCGGCCAGTACAAGAAGGAAACACAACACTATGTGAGTGGATAAAGGCCGTACTCAAAGAAAGGTACATGGGTGTGTAGTATCTCTATCCCCCCAATAGGCAAGTCTAGATATGTGGACAGCTATAGGGACAATTTGTTCTTATTATTTACATCATCTAGAACTTATGACTAAAACGAATAATTATTGCCTTGGAGACTTGTGCAAGTCTAGGCCACTTCTAGCATGTTAAGATTCAACACAAAAACAGCTTTTAGAAAAGGAGGATGCATTTTGCAATTTTATAGCAATTCGGTTTCAGTAATCGTGCAATATATATATATATCACCAAAAGGAGTGAGTCGTAGTATTGTAAGGCTTTTATTTTGGTTTCGCATATGACTAGTACATAGCTTAAGCTTACAAGCCGTATGAATAAATTGCAAGTAATTCCGTGGCATTTAATTGGCTAACTAGCGACCATATACCAGAATATGATCTCCGGGCTAACCAAGCAATTTGTTTGGCGTAAGCCGAAAACTCATTAGGCCACGCCCACTAATGGCTGATTGGCTGACAATAGAATGGGCGGGTCTTGTGTTACGTTATTGCGCTGACCGATGCGATGTCACTGATTTCATATTGTATACAGGTGTGCGTGCGTGCGTGCGTGCGTGCGTGCGTGCGTGCGTGCGTGCGTGCGTATGTGTTGATGATTTAAAAATCAGTCTGTGAACGTATTATTGTTGACGTATTTATTTATAAGAGTTGATTACAATATGTTTTTGGAGTTTACGTGAAAATCGGGGTGCACACTTTGCGTAAATCCGCTACACAGTATGCACACGTTTGTACTTCCACGTACGCAAAAAATATTTAAAATGCTTCAAAAACAGTTGATAGTGCCTTCACATATACAACAGGGCGGTTACGGATAAGATGGATTACTTTTATCCCGCTTGAAAACAACATTCGGCTTAAATGATCAATGCAATGACAAAAGTTGTTATGAAAGCATATCGTGACTACCTATTGCGGAGTGAGTGAGTGAGTGAGAGATTTATAGTCACATGGGTAGTATTTCATCTGTATCGTGACTACCCATTGCGGAGTGAGTGAGTGAGTGAGAGATTTATAGTCACATGGGTAGTATTTCATCTGTATCGTGACTACCCATTGCGGAGTGAGTGAGTGAGTGAGAGATTTATAGTCACATGGGTAGTATTTCATCTGTATCGTGACTACCCATTGCGGAGTGAGTGAGTGAGAGATTTATAGTCACATGGGTAGTATTTCAGCTATATTGTGACTACCCATTGCGGAGCGTTGTCGAAAGTGAGAAATTAAATAATTACATTTAAAACGCGCGGACCTAATTAATTAATTTATTATTCAGGTGCGTGATTCAACCGTGTGTTAATGCTCAGACGACCTCCATGCCTACACACGTTAGGTTATAAAGCTTTTTATAGCATATGCAATCACTGGAATGAATGCGTGAGCTGGGTTTATCGCCGCTTCGAACAATATTTCAGTTACATCAAGTCTTGTCGGCTTAGCATGTAACACGAGGCATGTCGTGAAAAGCAAGGGTCATAATCAGAGACATCTGGGATCCGCACCAACCAACCAACCAAAGTTCAAGAAAACCCAAGGGACGTAACTCTGTACAGCGTGTTGTGACATTTTTGTCGGTCTCCCAGAACCCAGAGAACCCATAAAAAAGGAGTCCAACTCAAGTCTAGAATGATTTGGTAAGTCTAGATTGCCTCAGCTCTGGATTGTTCTAGAATTCTTGAATTTTGTTATTTTGTAGATATATATTTTGGAATTGTTTGATAGGCTTTACTTAAAAGTAGACGGATGACAACAAGACAGTCTTGCTTGATAACGGTATAAGAATCTATACCGAAACGCCGTCTTTACAGTAATTAAAAAAGTTGTTATCCATATCTTGTATCTTCCTTGTGATATTTTTGAATAGGATTACTTTATTTCTGGGACTTAATGTCAGTCTAACATTATATCAGTGGCCGACTAAATTTGTGTGCGTACGTGCGTGTTCGTAGGTGCGCGAGTGCGTGTGTGCGCGTGATAAACAACATGGATTGGGATCTTATTACTTTCAGTTTAAACGCTCCAAATTCGGTTCCCCTAGTTTTATATACAATGTACATCACGTCACGATCGTCATGAGAAATACGGTTTAGGGGAACAGCCAAGCGGAATATTTAACTGACACTGAATATAAATTACTCACCAAGCTTTGTGTGTATCACATTACCGTCTCGCTCAGCATGGGAGCTAGACGCAGCTCTGTCATCAATACGAACATACACACTATGAACAAGTGCATTGTGGCATGGGACAACCTATTCGCACCTGCTGCACTGGAAGTCCAAATTAGCTTATTAACAACAATTGAAATATGTCTATGTAGTTTCTCGTCTTGTGATACATTGATATGACGCACCGTGGCTAGAGCCCGCAGCGGACATTGTGAAGCGGATCACTTGATCATGTTAAACAAAGGAAACAGTTCACATACTTTACTTCAGTCATGTTAGATGTGGTACAGTTTTGGCGCTACTGTTGATTAACTTTTCTTTTCGACTTCAGCGTGCACATATAATGACAGTGTTCAAGACGAATACCAGGAGTTTGGGATATTAACATTCTCAATAAAGACCTTACTCCTGCGCTATGGCCGTTAAATATTGAGAGAGGAAGATACTTTAACACTCCAACAGAAGAAAGATTATGTACCCTCTGTGATATCGATGTAATCGAAGATGAGGAACACTTCCTGTTACAATGCCCTCTCTACAAAGACCTGAGACAGGAACTATATTCACCACCCACCTTGGCTATGCACTCAATATCTCTAAAAATACTTTTAAATCCACCAGAGCCTTTTGCAAAAAGTATCCCAAATTTCATTCACAAAATGTTCAGACGAAGAAAATCTGCACCTCCTCTCTAGAAATATAATCATAGCAATATTTGTATTCTATTGTGTATGTCAATGTTTAATTGGTCATGTTCATGTTTTGTACCCTGCCCCCTGTGGGTGTTTATGTACAATAAATATTCTTCTTCTTCTATATGTATTTCACGTGGCCCTTTTCACTTTTTTGGTGCGTTCCTTTTGACTTCATGGTGTGTCCCTTTTGACTTTTTCGATTGTCCCGTTTGACCTTTTGGTGTGGCCGTTTTGACTAGGGTTTGTGTTGTGTCCCAAACTTCGATTGTCCCGTTTGACCTTTTGGTGTGGCCGTTTTGACTAGGGTTTGTGTCCCGTTTGACTTTTTGGTATGGCCGTTTTGCCTATAGGGTTTGTGTCCATTTTGACTTTTTGCTGTGGCCTTTTTGACTATGTTTTGTGTCCATTTTGACTTTTTGGTGTGGCCGTTTTGACTATGTTTTGTGTCCCGTTTGACATTTTGGTGTGGCCGTTTTGACTAGGGTTTGTGCTGTGTCCCGTTTGACTTTTTGGTGTGGCCGTTTTGACTAGGGTTTGTGTCCCGTTTGACGTGTGGCCATTTTGACTAGGGTTTGTGTCCCTTTTGACGTGTGTCCCTTTTGACCTCCAGCTCTTTTTAACAGCATCAGGAAATTATTTTTTAGAGGAGAGAAATGTATTTTGTAATAAAAGAGTTCATAGACGGTATGTTAGTTGATCGGAACTACTGTGGACTACAGTTGTGCTCCAGGTGAGGTGATGTAGGTGCTGATGAGAGTTAAGTGTCGGGGTAGGCTAGAGGCAAGTTTTCTGCCTGAGAACAAGGCCACCAAAGGTGAACGTCACACTATCAACCCTTGTGGAAAAGATAAACCGATTTTCATGGCTCCCATTGACACATACCACTAACCAAAACATCGGTGATTAATATGGAACAAAAATGACATCTAGTTCTGGCTCCCCAATTCTCAGTCCCGCCACTCCGACCGAAAATGGAGCAGTAAAGATGTAAGTGTAGGTAGGTAACTATTAGGTAACGCATAGGAAACCCTGTGTTTACTTCCTATTCCACTAGAAAATTGGGTATTTAAACTGTCCCCCAAATTAGGTTTTATGAAGTTAACATGATATTTTAGACGCGCTT